CACCTCCCCTAGCAGACCTCCCTCCAGCTTAGAACATCCAAAGCAAGGCAAGCAGGGTTATTTTTTGCAGGGGGCAGCTCCAGGCCAGGGCAGAGACAGTCTCAGCGGGGACACTGTGGCTAGAAGGCACAGCTACTCACTGACTTTATTTATTAGGACCATGAAGGCAGAGGAGGAACCTGAAGGAACTTCACACAGGCTGCCCTGCATGCCAGCTGGAGTCCCGAGTAAGTCCCTCGCAGACCACAGAAGGCTCAGCACCCCAGTCGCTCCAGGGTCGCCTACACAGTCCCCTTCTTGGGATGGAGTGGTCACCAGGGAATAGCTTTACCTTCCCAGTTGAGCAGAGCCCCGCTGTGTTTCTCGGAGAGGACCGGCAGCACTGACAGCAGCCCCCGCACGCTTCTGTCCACCGTCAGGTCAGCCTGCAATGGGTGAGGAGACGCCGCCGTCATTCCTGGCCGCCCACCAGCACCCTGCTCAGCTCCTGCATGTTAGCAGCCAGTGCTGAGAGAAGAACCACAGGAGGAGGGACGAGTCTGTGATGTGGGAGGAGGGCTGGGTATCTGCAGGCTCACTGGTGGTTTGGATGGAGGTGGCTTGGGCTGGGAAGACAGTTACAGGTTTCATAGAATCCTAGACTGGCCTAGGCTGGAAGGGACCTTAGAGATCCTCTAGTCCAACCTCCCTGTCACGGGCAGGGACGCCTCTCAACTAGATCAGGCTACTCAAGGCTCCGTCCAACCTGGCCTTGAACACCTCCAGGGAGGGGGCAGCCACAACATCTCTGGGCAATTTATTCCAAAGTCTTGCCGCCCTCGTACTGAAGAATTTCTTCCTAAGGTCCAATCTAAATCTATTCTCCTTCAACTTAAACCCATTTCCCCTTGTTCTATCAGTGGACACTCTTGTAAAAAGTCCCTCCCCAGCCTTCCTGTAGGTTCCCTTCAGGTATTGGAAGGCAGCTCTTAGGTCCCCCTGAAGTCTTCTCTTTTCCAGACTGAACAATCCCAGCTCCCGCAGCCTGTCCTCGGAGCAGAGCTGCTCCAGCCCCTGGATCATCCTTGTGGCCTCCTCTGAACACGCTCCAACAGATCCACCTCCCTTTTATGGTGGGGGCACAGGACACATAAGAGATCCCTGCTGCAAGCAGGATGCTGTGTGCAGCCTTCTCCAAAGGCCAGGGTTGCAGGGACCACCCCCACTCCAAAAGAGAGACCCTGCAGGAGAAGTGGAGACCTCCAGGACCTGCAGGCTCTTTGAGGAAGGAGGTGTAGGATGGGATGGTGCTGCTCCTCAACTCCCTGCTCTCCTGGGTTCAGATTCTCTGCATATCTCCAGGCTGCTCGAAGCCCTTTCCCTCCTGCCCTAGCCACCCTGGATACGAGCTGATGCTGGTTCCCAGGCAGACCCACATGTTCTGCAGTGGCCCAGCACAGATGGGGCCAACTCGCAGCCCAAGAGGCAGCTCATTCTCACACAGATCCCTCCCCCTGAGAGCCGTCCCAGCCACACAAGGCACCTCCTGTGCAAATTTGTAGACTTGGGTCCCACTCATGGGGGTTCCCAGACAGCCAGAACCCACCTCCTGACCTCCCATGTCGGTTTTCACCCAGCCGGGGTGAAGGGCCACGCAGAGGATCCCGGCTTGCCCGTAGGTGAGAGCCTGGCACTTGGTGAGCATGTTGAGGGCAGCCTGGGGGAGGAAGGAGACATCAGCCATGCGCAGGAGAAAGCTCCACACACCAGGTTCCCTTCCAACTGCCGCCTCATGGTGAGGGAGAAAAAGCAACACCAAGTCTTCAGGAGACAGTGCATGACTCCCCTAGGTGGGCAGCAGCTGGGGATGGAGATGCCCAAGGAGTCCGGGCAGTGGCCAGCATGGATCAGTCCATCCATCTCACCATCTCGGCTGTTTCTCTGAGATCAGGGCTGTCAAGTGGCAGCTCTGATTCCCCACCGAGCTCACGAGGAGCTCCCCAGCCCCCATACCTTGCTGCAGCGGTAGGAGACGGCAGGCTTGAAGAAGGACTCGGGAGTTTTCTCGATGGACCCCAGGAATGAGGAGATGTTGATGATGGCTGCCTTGCTGCAGCTCAGTCCCTTTTCTGTGCTCTCCTGGGCAGCCTTCTTCAAGAGGGGCCGGATCTGGGGAGAAGCAACCTGTGCCAGCCCCACTTATGGCAACTGCAACCCAGGCTGCCAACAGCAGCGAGGGTGAGGAGGAAGAGTGGGAAGCCAGGAGAGCCTGTCTTCTCCAGGGTAGCCCAGCACAACATGATGGGGGTAGAGAGGGCTGGGAGAGCAGCCTTAGTGCTGTCCCATCCCTCCCACAGCCCCCCAAAAAACTTGGCAAAGCCCTCCAAGATCTCCATCGTGACCACGGATAACCCCAAGCTGGGCTCCCACTCCGTGGCAAGCTCCACCCCAGCTTCATCCCTACCTGGGTCACCAGCAGCGGCCCCACTGTGTTGGTCTTGTAGGTCCTCATCATCTCTTCAGCGTCCATGTTCTCCAGTGACGCCGTCAGGGTGTAGATGCCAGCGTTGTTTATCAGCAGGTTCAAGCCCGCGCCGCTCAGCTTCCCCTCCACCACCTTTGCTGCACTGGTGATGTCAGAGGGATTTGCAACATCTGCAGTGGAAGAGAGCAGGGTTGGAGACCCACGGGATCCACCCGAGGGGGCCTGGGGAGGAGAAGGAGGTGAAGCTGCTGAGACTCAACTCTGCACGCCCAGCTCCTGTGGTTTTCCACTCATGGGCACCAGATGGTGCTGTGCAACCAGCTCAGAGCGCTCCGGCACCCACAAGACCCAACTCACCCCCAAAACTGCCTCCTCCATCACAGGGTGCCCCACCAACCACCAGCTGAAGAGCTCCTGCCCTGGGGCAGCCCACCAGGCAAAGCCACTCTGGGGACAACCCTGTGGTGGCAAAGGTCCACGTCCTGTGCCCCACAGCCTCCTGGTCAGTAGACAAAATCCACCCTGGAGCAAGCTCTGGAGAATCCAGGGCAGTCTCGTCACAAGGGGCTGATGGTTCCTGCAAGGGCTTTGCTGGGACCTCCTGTGGAATGGTTCTGCAAGGTCCTACAGCTCCTTGCCCAGGCTCTGGGCCAATTACACAGCGTTTCTGTGGGAGCTGCATTCCTCCCAGAGCCCTCCCAGTCTCGCCTGGGAGCTGGAGGCCACCCAGGATGGGTCTCAAGAATGTCCTGGTCCCATGGCTACAGGGCAAGGATGCTCCAGGGAATGGGTTACTGTGGCTGAGACAGGGCTGGAGAAGCTGGGGTTTTGGGCGTTTTTCCTGTGGCTGAGACAGGTCTGGAGAAGCTGGGCTTTTGGCAGCAGGACTTGAAGCAGCTCTAAAGAACCAGATCCCCAAATAGAGCCTGAAGGCAGGGAGGGAAGGAGAAATGGAGCAAGCGTGGCCAGCAGCCACAAATTTACCATCTCGGGGGCAGAGCGCACCTACCCAGCTTCACAAGAACCAGGTTGGGGTGTTTGGATGCCAGATCTCTCAGCTCCTACAAAACCAGAGCATGGACAAAATCAGCACGAGGCAGGGGCGATGCAAAGAGTCATCCTGGGGCACCAGCCATGGTCCACACTGAGGAAAACCTCTTCCAGATGTTACTCAGTGCTTGTGAAACCAGCTTGGGTACCAGCAGGAGCTGAGTGAAACCTCTTCCAGATGTTA